CAGACTGCTCTAGGTCCTGTGGTGCTATCTGCTTCTGTGCCGTCTACAAGATGGGCAGCACTCGCTCTGGCCTCTTCTGGGTGAAGGGAAGAAGGGAGGAACCGCCTCCACCCTGCCTGGGACAGGGTCCCCTTGTGTTGAGCCGCCAGGAGATGGCCTGCTGCCGTCATCGCCATCAGGTCACTGCTGCTATCACTTTTATGCAGCATGTACCCCAGAGAGATCAACAGAGATTGTAAGAAAATGAAGAATGGGCTTTGTTCCTTAAAGGTGTGTCTCCCCAGAAAGGGAGGGTGCACAGGGAGGCCTGGTCTCAGCTCATCAGGCCTGTTCCAAGGACACTATTTAGTTGGGTATAAAACCCAGGGTGCATAGAAGCCAACAGAGACGTTTTGACCCTTCTGCCCAGACTGTGTCTCCAGCAGAATCTGGAGCCCCTGCAGCCCCACAGCCTCTCTGAGGTGAGCAGAGCCAGACTCAGAGGCAGAATGGGGTGTCAAGGTCAGGGGGCCCACCAGTCCCCCTGTTAGGACAGCCTGAGTGCCCTGCACAGGCAGCCCTGAGCCCCTGTCCGTCCCCACCCAGGGGAGGGCCTCAGGTTAGCCTCTAGCCGGTCCTAGACACAGACCTGCATCTTTGGAGATGAGGAACCTGCTTCAGGAATGGACAAGGAAGAAATGTAGGTTTGAGAGAGAAGCTTCAATCTCAATGGCCCAAAGCAGTAGGTGGGTAACACAGTGCTTGGGCCCAGGGCCGTGGCCTCCACCCCTTGGGCTTGGGAGTGGCGGGGGCCTGGTCTGGGTTTCCGCCAACAGGCACGTTTTCAGACACCTTAATAACGATAATTTTGGAGGGCGAAAAACCTTCTGGGATCCATTCGTGACACCAAGTAGAAAGCTCAGCCCCCCCGGGACGTGCCAGAACCCCAGAGCTGAGAGCCAGCACGACGTCTGTGTGTGTGTGTGCCGACTCTTTGCCGACTTTCTGGAGAACAGAGGGTATTTATTTTAAGAGTCAAAAAAGATGTTTTTACCAACCCCACTTAGCTAAATCCTGGCGCTGATACCCGCGAGAGAAGCTAAATGCCAGAGGTCAAACCTCGCTCTTTTGGCTAAAATGCTCAATCAAAACACACCTAATACTTCTGCCGGGGCGCGGAGCCGGCGAGAGCCCACAGTGGCTGCCAGCGACTGACCAGCCAGCGGCGCGTGTGCCGAGGCCTAAGCCGGAAAAGAAAGAGCGTTTTCAGCAAGGCGGCGTTGGCCGGGCAGGAAGCAGGGCTGGAGCTCCGGGGGGTGTCCGCCCGCTTGTCGTCCAGGGTCAGTGGTGGGTGAGCGGGCAGAGTTAAGGACATTTGTACTTGCCAGGACGTCCGCATGTCCAGCAGGCAGGTCCGGAACCTGGCTCAGGTCCTCTGCTTGTAAGAGGGAGCTTCTTCCCTCCCCGTCCTTGGGTGCCTGCTTCCTCCCAGGGTGGGAGGCATGGGGGGTTGGGGTGGGAGGGAGTAACCCAACATCATCTGTGACCACATTCTCTATCCCAGTGACCACGGGGAGCTGTGTTCTGTGCTCTAAGAACCTATAGAGAGAACTGTGGAGCCTGGAGGTGAAGCGCCTGCCTGAGGTTCCCACCAGCCCCTCGCTCTGTACCCTGTAGGCAGCATCCTGGACTTCTAGTGTCCATGGAATGTCCAGCTCTGTACCCCCACCTGACGACAAGCCCTAGTGAGTAGGAAGGGGCACTTTGAATCCATGCACAGACCCACCTACCCCTCTGGGAACAGAGGGAAGGGCCCCCGGGTGTCATGACATGGGTACCCTAAGATACGCCATCCCAGGTGACCACTTGTGAGCCTCTGACAGAGGATGGTGGCTCTGGCCACCTTCAGCCCAAGAACTGTGGGATACAGTCGGGCCTAGACAGTGTTCAGCTGAGCTAAGGGGCTGCACAGTGGTGGGAGGAGGCCATGTGTCTGCTCTCAGCATGCCAGGTCCCCTGCTGAGAGCGCGGGTGGGGAATGGAGGGGGGCACTGCGCTCCTGAGATCACATCACATGCCGGTTTGACCAGGGGCTCCTGGGTGAGGCAGGATGGGTGTGGGCATCTCAGACTCAGTCCCGGAGCCTGGAGGAGCAGGAAAGGCTCTGCCTGTGGCCTGCGAGCCCCCCAGCCTCTGGTAGACAGCAGAGCAGTAGGCCCTGGATGCATTTTCTCTTGTGGGTGGGCCTGGACACCCAAATTCCCGCCAGCCTGGCTCGGCTTCGGTCCAGCCCCTGTCCACATGGACCGGTGTAGGGGCATATTCTCAGGATGCGGCCCCTAGCCCTCCAGGAATGGACAAGTCCTACCTCCACACCTTCTGGTCAGCTGACCAGGAGTCCATGGGGACCTCTGATCCTGTCTGTCAGATGACCATAGTTAGAATTTGTCTGGAAAACTCCCCCATGCTTTCAAGGTATCTCGTGTGTCCTGCAAGGCACAGGGCGTGTTGGTGTTTCACATGGCTGCCTCTCAAACCAGGGCCGTGGACGGGGACAGAGGATGGTCAGGCCACCAGCGTCAAAGTGAAAACAGGGCCACCATCCTGTTGTGGGGCGCGGACAGCCAGTGCTCCTCCCCAGAGTCCTCTCACAGAGGCTGCCCTGGGCCCAGGTGATTTCTGTAGACGGCCAGACACCCCTAACCCCGGCCCCTCCAGACTGAGTATTCCGGCTCCTGGGGGCCTTTTGCGCAGCCTCCAGCAGGGATCCTGGCACAGTGGACAGGTGGTGTTCTCCTCACTGGTTCTGTCTTCCAGAGTTGTTTTACCTAGATGCAGAAGCCCACGCTGGCCCTGCCACTCACCCTAGTGCTCAGGGATGCTGGACCATGAGCAAGCTGAGCCTTGGTGCTGCTGGGCACTGCCTGGTATAAACTGCTTTCCAGAGAGGCCCCACGCTGTCTCTCCACATGCTCAGCACGCGCTCAGGGGCTTGGTGAAGTATCTGTGTGCTGGCCTGTCCCTGCTGCCTCGTGGCTTGAGCGAGGACGGGGCCCCTAACAGGGTGTGTAAAATACTGTTCTCCTTAGAAAAAGTAAAGCTCAGTTTTTCTCCTGGTTCAAGCCACCCATTCAGAAAGCTAAGCACAGAACTTAACCCAGGTCAGGAGACCCTGTGGCCCACAGCATGGGGCCCACACCCTGCGTGATACAGACCGTGGTCTCTGTCCCTGCTGGGTGAGGGTGTGCAGGGTATAGGCCAGGCCATACCGTGGTGCACAGAGGTCCATCTCTCTCCTAGGGGATGCACGAAGGTGACTTCTGACTTTGGGCGTTGTTGGTACAGGCCTCTCTTGGAAGCCATGGGCCTTTCTGAGGTCCAAGAGGTCAGCCTCACTGATCCCTCCAGTCTCAGCTCACTGAGAGTCCAGCCAGCCTTCCTGGTCCTGGATTCAGCAGGAAAGCAGAAAGAAAGATAGCAGAAATGCAGGCCTGTGCACAGGCTGGCCTCGACCCGGCAGCTAAGGCCAGCCCCAGGTTCCCGGCCCCGACTAGGGCAGAGAGCCAGTGACCCTGACTCTTGCGGGCTGTCCTCTGGACACTTGCTTGGAGTCTCCTCTGCAGAGTTCACCTTTTCTTACTCTCACTCTCTCTTTGTTTGAACTTACAACCGCTCTCCAAACCACAGTTTCAGAATCTATTAAAAGAAACATAAAATCCCCAATTGGTTAGAATTCTCAACATTTAAAAATATGACTTATTGTTATTACAGCTGAGCTTGGGCGAGTCAACCCGCCCCTTGGAGCGCGGCGCCTGGTCCTCCCACCTGCGCCGGCGGGCACCGATGGGCACTGCACACGGGTCCTTGTCATTTCTAAAAGCCACAGTGTGATTCTAAGGGGCTAGGGAGGGAAACCCTTGGCTTCCTCCTTGTTTCTCACCTTACTTTTCAAGTATTAGTTTCAGTCTTGGTTTCTGTTCTTATGGGAACGACACTGCAATTTACATACACATGTCTGTGCACGGCCACTTTCGGTCCGCAAGGGAAAAATCCAATTTCTGCAGCTAATTTGTCAGTTTGCTTAGCTTAGAAAGCACTCTGGGATCAGTCGCTGAAACGCCACCCCTCTGGAGCCAAGCTTGGTGGTTTTTAAGAGGAGATGCTGGCAGAATGCTACGGGTTTCCAGAACAGGGCCCAGGAAAGAGCCGAGTTGAAGCCGTGCGGGTGGGAGGAAGATCCACAGTGCTGACAGCCTCTCTCTACTCTCTGTGGCGAGCTCCATCCGTGAGCAGGGAGCCAGGCTCGGGAGCCGGGCTCGGGCGCCGCTCACCGCTGGGGCCCTCAGTGGCCTCCCAGGGCACTTGCACATGCTGGGCACCACACCTTCTGCCTTAGACTGATTTTCTTCCAGAAGTGCCTCCAAAAACCATGAAGGGAGATCCCCTCTGTAAAGAGCACCTTAATATGTTGCGGGCTCTGGTTTGCCAGAGAAGAGGAAGCAAAGAAATGGCATCTGCTGGCTCCCCTGCTGCAGCCCTGGGCCAGCCCTCCCCAGGGTGTCCATGACCTCTGTCAACCCTCCCATCCACTCTGTCCTGGATCCTGCATGACCCTTCCCTGGTCAGACTATGAACCCTGCCAGGGCAAGGCTGTGTCTCCCCTCCTGCACCCCCCACCCACAGGGCAGAGTTATCTCTGAACACAGCAGCTCCAATTGCTGGTGGGACTCAGAGGAGTCGTGATGCACTTGTGGTGTTCTTGTGTCCCCAGCTGCGCCTCTCCAGGGAGGTGACGGTCCTGAGGGGAGGCCCAGAGTCCTCAGCAAACAGGGAACCTCTGTCCGGGTAAAGGGTCCTGGTTATCAGCACAGCCCTGTATTCACATTATCTAGAAGCCACTCGGTTTTACCCCTGCGGTGTTGGGAACATCCTTGGTCACTCTCATGATTGATTGAAAACCCATAGCAGCTTGTGATCAGCATCTTGCCGGAGACTAACTGCCCCTCTCACTTGCTTTGCAGCAAATACTGACCGATGCAGAAGCGTCGTCCCAGGAGGGCTGCATCAAAAAGGTAGGAGGCCCCTGCTGCGTCCACTGCTCTCCCGCCCCTTTGCCATCCTGGTCGGCCGACTGTGATTTCAGTTGTCCCTGAGTTGTGAGTGTCCAGGTGTGTGTCCCTGGAGGTCCCAGGGAAGTGCGTTACCTGGTGGCCCTGCGTGCACAGAACGGCAGCTTCCATGTGACCAGGACAATGCTTACATTCAGGCTGGTGGGGGACTTCGCTGAGTCTTGAGGCTGGAGGAGAGTCCTGTGCCCGTGGGGACCCTGCGAGGCTGTGTGGGCAGAGAGTGAACAGACCAGATGCAGCTGGTGCTTGTTTAGCTGTTTAGCCGTCCTCACTGAAAAATCACAGGAAGAGTGTGGTGGGCACGAGGGTAGAGGTGGGCTGCTTCTGCTGCACTCACTGCTTCCAAAGAAGCCCCTGGCATCGCTCTAAATATGCAAACCGTTAGGGCAAGGAAAAAGTGTCCACGTGGCACCAGCTCCCTCTCTGCTGACTGATGGCATAAGGGCTGGTGGACAGACAGCAGCCCCGAAAGGTCCAGAGAGAGAACCGGGGGTGGCAGCCTGCGCACACATGCACTGGGGGAGCACACACTCAGAGCCAGGCACACCTCTGGCTTGCAGGCTGCAGTCGAGATGGAGGAGGAGGAGCCCAGTCACCAGTATGCATATGCGTCCCCTGCGGCGCACACACGAGCACAGACGTGCACCCACAAGGTGGCTGATCCCGTATTGGGGGTTTTCCCATAAGATGGAAGTGGTATCCTCTCTCTGGGCATCTTTGCTTCCAAGCATGACTCAGCAGAGAGGGTCTGGCTCATTGAGGTCACACTCAGAGGGCACCTGATGGTGAGTCAGCAGGTCTGTCAGTGTCCCTGGATCAAAACTACCCCTGGATTCTGTGACTCGGACGTGCACGCAGGGCCAGTATGAGACTGGTGGTTGGTGAGGGAGCTGATGCTCCTGAGCTGAGAGTTCGCATCACGTGGGCCCCTCTGTGCCCCGAGTGAAAAGATAGCCCCAAGTCTCCATGGTCAGAGCCGAGGCGTTGGGCGGCACTCCCCAGACAGGACAGGCACCTGCCACCTGAGTTTTGTCCACAGGGAGGGGCGGCCTCAGGTTCAACCCCTGAGACACTGATTTTGGACAAAATGCTGTATTGAGAGACTCTTTGTCCTGCAGTAACGATGTTGGCAGTGAGTAGGTTTAGTATCTTGTCATCCCCAATTCTCCCATGTCTGCAGCCAGCCTCGGTGGGACCCTCTCTTCTGGCGAAAGGTGTCCATTCTCAGTACCCCCTGCCTCAGGGGAGGCCTGAGTCCTTTCCAGGGCACCCCGACTGTACTGGGTGTAACTTCCCACAAGGTTATTTCCCTCTTTCTCTTTCTCCTTTCCTGCCGCTTTAAACAATTTTATATTTTCTTAAAGGAGACGGGGCAGTAAGGCAGTAAGCAGCTTGGCTGTATTTCAAGGAACTGCGGCATTTTCACCTCCGAAAAACTGACCGGCAGCAAGTTCTGATCTTGCTGAGTGATGGTGGCATTTGTGGTCCCCCCCCATGAACGCGTCACTGGCCCGTCTGGCGTGGGGAGACTTGCTGCTCCTGAATGTGTTCCTCCCGAGGTGGCCTGAAGGGAGGTTAGGGGATGGTAAATCTGTCCGGGGATGGCCTGTCCTGGCTGAGTACAAGGGTCAAGGCAGAGGGTCAAAAGGTCAAGTCTAACTTTAAAGGGCCATGAAGAGGCTGGGTCTGGACGCTTTTGAACGGGAACAGGAGGAGGCAGGATGAGGACGGGAGTGGGCGCTGCACCCAGCCCTAGCCGGTGGCCGTCTGCGCCCTCCGTGTTGTTCAGTAAATGAGTCCACCAAGCCTTGTTTGTCAAGGTGCTCCCTGAGTCTGCCCAGGCGCCGGCTCTGCCCTGTGTGGTGGGGGCATCCCTTCCTACCCAGGTCCCAAGAAGGCCTGTCGGGAGAGCCGGGTCAGGCCAAGGTACAAAGTGGAGGCAGAATGGAGAGACCTGACCTCACAGCACAGAGCTGCAGGTGTGGCCTCTGAACAGGCCTCCCTGCTGCCAGCCCAGGGCTGCCCTCCCACTGCCCTGCATGGGAGCTGAATGGGGGTGTCCCCACCATCCTCAGAGCACCTCTCACCAGACAGAGAAGCTGCCCTGCAGCACTTCAAGGCCCCCCGAATTGAAGCCTAACATTTTTTTTCAGCCTCTCACTGAGCGTGGCCATTTCAGCATTTGGGGGATTCAAATGTTGTTCAAGGTCAACTTCGTGGGGTGATTAAAAAAACATAACCCCGGTGCTTAAATCTGGGCCCTCCAGATATGTTGCCAGAAGCCCCAGGAGAGATGCTGGAATTTAAAGGTGAAGGGTTTGTACACAGGAGCTCACAACCAGTACAGATAGCCTCACCCAGGCCCCTGTCCAGATAGCAGGGCCTGCCTCAGAAGCAGATGTGAGCTTGGCACTGGGTACATGTGTGTGATTTGTTTACAACTAACATCACTTTGCAGGCATGGATTTGCTGGCTTCAGGATGAATTCAGTGTGACAGGACGAGGACTCTGGCTTGTCAGTTTTGTAGGTAGGGTCACCTAAAGATGCCCTGGGAGCGTCGAGGGTGCTGTGTGACCTAGACTGGGTGGACAACATCTCTGAGCTTCCATTTGTCCATCTGCAGGAGGATTCTACTTCCTGTTCTTTATCGACTTTAGTGAAATGTAGCAACATTAATTCAATCAATGGCTGGATGTGTGAGGTGCATGAAAGTTGCTATTTTATGGAGACATTACTGCAGTGAGTTATAAGTGTTGGGGAGCCATGTTCTTATTTGTGTGTTTGTTTATGAGACACAGTCTCACTTGTACCCTGGGTAGAGTGATGTTTTGTCACAGCTTACAGCAACCTCAGACTCTTGGACTCAAGTGATCCTCTTGCCTTAGCCTCCCCAGTAGCTGGGTCTATAGGCACCTGCCACAAACACCTGACTATTTTTTAGAGATGGGGTCTTGCTCTTGTTCAGGCTGGTCTCCAACTCCTGATCTCAAGCAGTTTGTCCTCCTCAGCCTCCCAGAGTGCTGGGAATACAGGCGTGAGCCACTGAGCCTACCCCAGAAACCAGGTTCTGAAGGCTACAGACCTTCACTCAGAATTTATAGGCAATAGAGCCGGGCCTGAGGAGTTTGGAGGTACTGAATTCAAACCCAGGACCATGGACGGGCCAGCAGCACAGGGCAGGGCTCCTGCCAGAGTGACAGCAGCAGCCGTAGCTTGTAAGTTTGGGGATAGAGGACCCGCTTCCCCATCCCTCCCGCACCCTCTCGTTCTGGCCCCCATCCCTCCCTGCACTGCCTACCCTGCTGGCTGCAGCCCCAAGCTTTGGTGCTTACACATGCCCACCCCATTCCAGGGCCCTCCGCCCCCTCGGTGTGCGCTCTGGGCTCCGTCACTAGCTGTCCCCTAAAAGTCACTTTGGCTGCAGGTCGGCTGCCTCCGTCTTTTCTAGCCGCAGTGCCTGGACCTCTGGGACTGCCCCGCGACTCTCTCTTTAGTCTCTGTTTACTTAGAGGGAAAGCCTGAGGCTCGGAGAGCAAACATCTGCAGGAGATAATCTAGCCAGTTGTCCATCCATCACTGGGGCGCGCGGCTCCCTGGAGAGCCTGCAGGAGCTGGTAATAAAAAGGCCGGGGGAAGAGGCTTTGGGGACAAATAAAGAGCCGTGTTAAGGGCTGCTGGAATGGATGGAAGACGTTATTAAGGCTCAATGGCCGTCTTATCAAAATCCAATAGGATACACATTTGGCAAAAGGCTTAAATTTATTCTTTGACTTTCTGGAGGGCTTGAATTTATCCGTTAACAAGAGTGCAGTCCACCCGGGAGATGGTATCGGCTGAAAGAATTTTGATTCAATCTCTTTGGTGATATGAAAAGGGGAGCACAGGCCACGACAGCCGTTCCCTTTGTCCACGGTATCTTGTTTCCTTCACCAGCTTGAAAAGGAAGGACGTGTTAATACAGAACTGGGGAGAAAATGCAAACAAAAGGAAGTGGCCTTTTTCTTTTTTATTTTCTCTTCTCCTTTTCTCTACCCTCCCCTCCCACCCCCCAATACATATATCTGGAATTTGCATCAGTGGAGCTAGGAGTGGGGACCCACAAATGGTGCCTCTTCAGAAGCTTCTGAAAAATGTGCCCCCAGCCCCAGCCAGCCCCCAGGGCGAGGGGCAGGGAGGGCAGAGAGCTAATAAACTCATACCGCAGGAGGAGGGGACGGTGATGGGTCCATAAATCTCTCCCTGTTATTATTATTACGTACAAAATGCTACAGGTCATAAAAGTCATCTGATAGCCCAGCCTCACATTGTCCAAACAGGGTGATTGATTGATAATTGTGATAATTTGTGAAATGATTATTTGGATGTTAGGACTTCGTCCTGTCCCGCTGGGCTGCTGTGGGGATGTTTTCTATAGCCTGGCCCGGGCCATAAGCCCTCTGGTAACGGGACTTCCAGAGGTCTCTTGGGTCCCTTTGGGTCCCTCCATTGGGGACCTGGGGTTGGCGAAGGATGACTCTGGGGCCCAGAATGAAAGCCGGGCGGCTCCGGGAAGACAAGCGGAGACTGAACTGCAACTGCTGAGTGTCTTTTGTGCAGTAACTACTCTGGGGGGGCCACACACCTCGAGGTCCAAACAGGCCGGCCGCCACCAGGCTGTGACTCCTGGCTGTTTCAGAGGACTAATTCACAGAATTCCTGGCTACAGGGACGATTTTAGCACGGCACAGAACCGCAGTTTGTGTTCAGTCTGAGCGGGTGGTTCTGCGTTTGTGTCCTCTCCTTGGGGGATGCAGAGGTATTTTCCGAGTGGCTGGAGGGCTGGGGTGGGAGGGGAGACCCAGCTCCAGAGCAGGTGCTGACGTGCCAAGTCAGTTCCGCCCCTCCCTGCTGGGGCTGGAAGCTTCCCTGTGGCCACCCTCCACTTGCTTACCCTCAGCTGCAC